CAAACAGGCAGAATATTTTTGGAAATTGTTTCTTTTATAATGAACGTTCAGGAGGGGACGAGTGAAAAAATACGATTTTTACTTGAATATCCGATATGAAGGACTGCTTCCTTATATTCTCTACATAGTGTCTGTTGATAAATGACATTCAGCGACAAACTGTCATTTTCAATCATCAAAAAAGACCAAGATTACGCTTTTATTCGTTTGATGAATAACTCAAAAAAAAACGCTTGTTTTACTCTATTGCGGTTGACTGATTTTTTCCCAAGCAGCTTCTGTTTACGTAACATCAAAACTCCTACACACTTTATACGGACAGATTGACGTTGATTGCTACTTTTATTTTAGATTAAATCGCCTAGTGTTTGAGTTTTCTTTTCGTATTAGGGTTTATAGTCTATATTATGATACATCAGTGCTACCCGACAATGTGTTTTCATTGTTAAATGATGATTTTTTTTCAACATGACACGAAAATTAGCAGGAGAACAGATTGTAGAAATATGAAAGGTACAACTTTTTAATTCAACACAATCTCTTGTTCGTACGAAAAATATATTGGAAATATTCGAAATCAATTGCTCTAATTTATTAGAAATGAGAAACAAATCATGTTTTAAGTTAGATGATGTGTTGTTTATCATTAAAAATGCGGTTTAAAAAGGAGTTTGAATGGCTTATTAAATTTATTAAAAACAAAACAGCAACAATGTCAATCAGCAAACACTATATCATTTAATCGGTAAGTATCCATTATTAAAATCATTACTGGCATGGTATGAACAGAACCATGATAAAAGAAAATCATTTGAAAGTAATCATTTCTACAGCAATTTATTGATAACATGACAAGTAATTTATCAAGATCCAGAAATACTTATAGATACAGTGATTTTATTCAACAATTTTTCATGGCTCTTTATGCGTTAGGGGGTATAATTACTCTACGAATTCATAAGAGTAAATTTATCCGGTACATTGCCTAATTCAACACCACTGAAAACCTATATCTCTAATGCAAACTTAAAATTAATTGAACGAGATTTTAGATTTATCTTCATTACAACAACATTTAAATTTAATAAATACAAAATATGGCTTTGGTTCTGAAAACTGCACTGGTGTTATTTGAACAATTAAATATGATAAAGATACGATATTTTTATTGGATTTTGTACACTATTGATTAACGATATACCAACTCTAAAACATTTCTAAACAGAGTCATTAGAGCATTTGAAAACCTAATTCAATACGTTCAAAAAGGTACCATTATTAAATATTCATGTGTTTCACTCTGCAGTGCAATATCTGAATCAATCGTCTCCATTTCTTTTATCTGCATACGGTATTAATTATAAATATACAAGCATTGGTATTGTTCGATGATGATCATATATTTATGAAGAATGTAGTAAGAAAGGTATTTAAGTGATTGGATTTTCAACCAGTATTTTCACATTTTTAATTTTTTACCATATTTTCGGTTATTGAAAACAAAATATTTTTTCTCTTTCCATTCGAGATTTCGACAGCAAATATTTAAAGAGTATGCGTTTGGTATTGGAATCATTTGCTGATTTTTTCAACACTCGATTACTTGACAATCCAGATGCGTTCCTTATTAGAATACCCACAACATGGGTATGGTTTTTTTTGCGAAATCGACAACCACTGTTGTTCATACGATATGCAACTGATTTGATCACGAAATGGAGAAATAGAATGTTACCTACAATAGCACAAATAATAATGGATCAACAGACAGTTACTTTACAACATTTAGTCGACATTATTGATGATGAGAAATTATGGAAGGTTGGTCATCGGTTAACAATAAGTAATTTAAATCCTAAAGATCGTTAAACTTTTCAATCATGTTTAAAAATACCATTTTAAAGACGCATGAAAAATTATATGTGATAATTCTGATATACAAGCAAGTTATCTATACTTTCAATTAACGAAATATATTATTGTTGCTTCTATTGAGAAGTCAAAACCTACCAATGATCGTTTATACTATTTGTGGTTGGTTGTCTTAGTCTCTAGACTTTGGCCGAGATGGATAAAATTTAAATTATTTATGAATAAAGCAATAACAAAAACATCACAGACATGTAAAGATAAATATTTTGCTACTAAGCCGGCATATTGGTTTGTAGAAATAAATGCACATCATGGTTCAACGACAATTATTGCCGAAACATGCATTAAATATTTTTCTATGTTTTATTCACAAGCGCTTGCGAGTGAAATTTTAGAAACTCACGTGCACTTAATGGTTGCTGCTCAACAAAAGTAAACTTTACAATAGATAATTTTCTTTAGCGAGCTGAAAAACTTTCGGTAATACAACTACGTAATTAAATATATCGAACAATGAAATAATCAAGAAAATCGTTTACTATTCCATGTTCATCATAAATATTAAAAAAATGATTTATTGCTGCTGCAAAATATAATCAAAAGTGATGATTTGAACATCGAAGAAATTATTTTGAAGGCGAATAAACCAGTACAAGAACATCGCTGTATTTTAAAAATGTTAACATTGTTGAAACAAAATCATGCAGCTGAGCAATGATTCAAATACAACTATTATCAATTATGTAAAAACAAATTAAATGAATGATCGTTCCAAACTTGATGCCGATTATGGTTCCGATGTCAATAAAATAACATCAATGGAAGAAGATGAGAACTATGGTGACAATAAGCAGAACCATAGTTGTGATTCTGAAATGTCAGATGACGACTGATGAGAATGATGAGATTAATACAATCACAACGAAAGAAACAGTATATAATGATATATGGATCAGAAACTCAAGCAATCCAAATTTAAACGAATCCTATTTTCAAGTTAAGATAAACAATACTGTAAAATATATGCATAAATAGGCTCCTTGTTGGATGTTAACAGAGAAACAACGTCGCTTGTCATATGGCAGATTATCAAGAATGATGGATATGAGTAAAAAGAAATAAAACATTTTTTGCATTTCTAGAAAGATTTTATGGTATTTGTATATTTTTTCGAAGAAAATAGAGTCTGTAACTTTTAAATCGAGGTTTTCCGCCTCCTCTCTCTCCAATTTAGACTTAAACAACCGAGATTAAATAATGGATATTAATAACAGACTTATTTGCCATTTCATTCAATGATTTTAATAATCAAATATAATAAATTACGAAAAAAGAATTCCGCAAATGGTAAATTACGAGTAAATAGCAGCAATGAAACCGAAAAGTGGGGCGTTCGTAAAAAATCCTTTATGTTCTAAATGTGGAAATAAACAAGGCAGAGTTTATTTTCAATCGGTCATTATCGGAAAGGAACTATTGTCTTTCAGAGGAATGTCTATCCTTTACCCTAAATCTGGTACCCAGAATGCATCCCTAAATCGAATCCACATTTGTGGATAATAAAACGAAAATTAATCCAGATTAGGGATTTTGATTTAGGGATTTTCTAA